CAGATTCAACCAAAACTAGGAATAGTTATCATTAAAACATAGACTTATGAGTTAGACAAAGGCACAAAAAACATAGATTGTATTGGTGAAGTTAGTCCCTGATGAGTGAATATGGAAACTGTCCCATACCCATGAGGAACTTGATCACACGATTTGCTTGATGCCAAGATACACTAAGTGTGCACCCCAGAGAACTATGTTTATGTCTATTTAAATATTCAGTGGTCTTTCACTATATTTGGAAGATATTTATTAATTAAATGACCAGAATCTGAGTTTTTAATCTCTTTATCTACATTTATTCAGAATTATAATTGATAATCTTCTAGACCTTTTTGGATTTTTTTCCTTTCTTTGAAGTGTTCTTCTTTTATGTGTTTTTTTTTAATTTAGGAACCATGATTTACAAATATGTCCACATTAGAGTTTCAGGCATACAATGTTCCTAAATCATTCCAACCCTCATGTCAACTTTTCTCCACAACTCATGAATCAGATGTTATTGATTAAGGAACTTATTCACAAATCCATGGACTCAACCAAAATCTGTTCTCAGATTTCCTCTCGTCCACCCAACCTGCCTTCTTATCAGGCACAATTTTTAAGTTAAATTATTGTGATTTAAAAGCCATTTTTGAATTTTAATATAATGCAGTCATATCACATTGACTGCTCCTTTGAAGTTAGTACATTAGAGTCCAAAAAATGTACAAATCCTATGTTCTACACACATTCATTGGTGTAAAATGAACATAATAGGAGCCTTTATTATGAAGAAGAATTTAAATCTTATTTAAATGCCACATCTAACTGTGGTGAAATCATTTCTACAAAATAATTTTTCAAATACATAATATTATAAAGTTTTGGTTAATAAATCTAAACAAAGTTGAACCTTTAGATTGATTTTTCTCTTACCTTCATTCTTTGCTATAATGCATTCAAGCAGAAAAAAAAATTTAAAGCAGGAAGATTTTTTTCCTTCCCTCCATTCCAAATTGAAATAGATATTTATAGAAGTCATTCTAAGATCATAGTTTTTTTAAAAAAATAATTCTATACTTTTTAATAATTCCCAGTTTCTTTTTCTTTTTTTTTCTTTTTGGGTCACACCCGGCAATGCTCAGGGGTTACTCCTAGCTCTGCACTCAGGAATTACTCGTGGTGATGCTCAGGGGACCATATGGGATGCTGGGAATCAAACCTGGGTCAGCCACATGCAAGGCAAATGCCCTACCCGCTGTGCTATCGCTCCAGCCCCCAAGAATTACCAGTTTCTATGAGCCTGCTTTTCGTGACCTAGTATAATTTTTCATGAAAGGCATAAAAAATTATTTATTTTATGATTTTAAATGATTGATTCATCAAGTGGAAGTCAATGATAGTTACAACTTTTAAGGATTTAAATTTACTGTGTCAGGCTTAAATTTTTGATTTGCTTGTATTACAGAGAGAAACCATAACTGCTTATACTTTTTTCCTAGGAAATGATCATGGTTCTGCGATTTCTTTGGAATTAAGAGGTTTATGGTTTTGATGACTATTATCAAACTACTTTATTAGTGAAATATTTCTTCTTATATATTTCCTTGGGGAGCTGGAGGGTTGAGCCACAGCTGGCTATTCTCAGAGTATTCCTGACTCTGCAAAGGAGACCCTTTACTGAGCTGAAGAATTGAACCTGGGTCAGCTGCATGCAAAGCACGCACCTTATCCCCTGGGCTATCTCTCTAGCCCACTCCTTAAAATGGCATCATAATGGTTACACTTGGGGCCTGAGCAGTAGTACAGCAGGTAGGGTGCTTGCATTGCACCCAGTTGACTGGGTTCGATCCCTGGCACCCCATATGGTCCTCCCAGCACGACCAGGAGCAATTCCTGAATGTAGAGCCAGGAGTAACCTCTGAGAGCATTGCTGGGTGTGGTGCCCCCTCGCACCCCCAAAAAGTAAAGTAAAACAAATGTTATGCTGAATTTTCTCTAAAATTTCTTTTTACATAATTAAAACTTCTGGATACAATATGATAATTAAGAGCTAAATAAGAGAATTTGAAGCTGATGCCATACCAGTCCTTATAACATACTTAAAATACAAATCACTGTTTGATTTTATACAGGCAAATATGTAACTCCTCTTTATCCTTGGCTTCTTTTTCATATCCTTGCATCTAGTAGTTCCTTGAACAAAAATCACTCACTCCACTTGTATGAGACTTAAAACTAACAGGCTTTTTTTTGCCCCCCTCGCTCCAAAATATCTATGGAACCACACCAGAATTGAAAGGCCATGGTTAGAATTCTTGTAAGAATAGAGTAGACTGTGTATGCTTCTGGAAAAAATTGTTAGGTCCATTTATTTTCTGAAACATTCTAAGCTTTTAGTTGAGTACTGACAAGGTAACCTTGCTCTCCCCAGCAGCTCAGACTTAAAACAATTCCACCACCAATCCCCTGCCACACTCATACCATTAACCAGAGAAGCATTCTGTTTGAGTCACAGTGATCAATGCACATCCCTATCTCTTACAGTGTCACCAAAGCAAGCAACGCTCATGGCGGAAAGCGTATTGCCAGTTGAAATACTTTGATGGCATAACAAAAGATTTACCAGAAAAAAACACTGTGGCTATGTATATTACCTCTTTTTTTTCTTTAAAGAAAGGTCAATGATATAGGATCTTAGGCTATATTTTAATAGTTATGCACAAACTATATTTGTCTGCAAAATATATAAGCACAGAAGCCATTTCCACCCCCCACCCACACCTCAAAATTAGATATTATTAAATTTCTGTCCGTTGTCAGCTTTGTTTCTGCGATGTCTTGAATACAAAGCATATAGGGGTGATTTTTGAGTACATAAAATGCATTTTTTGAGGGGACCATATGGGATGCTGGGATTTGAACCCGGGTCTGCCGCATGCAAGACAAACGCCCTATTCGCTGTGCTATCACTCCAGCCCAATAAAACACATTTTTAAAATCATAAAATACATAGTGTTTCATGGAACATGCATATTTGGGTCTAACTTACTAACAAATTAATTAGTTTACTAAAAATAGTATGTTATTCATTTCAGTTTGGCATTCTCCTAATCGCCTGTTATTTTCACTCCGTTTCATGGGTTGGTAAATGATCAGAGAGTATAATATAGTTTATTAATGATTTATAAGTGTAAATAACAATTATATTTAAAGGAAAATATTTTAATTTTGAGGTTCATATATGATAATTGAAAAGACATGTCCTCCAGGGGAAAATTGTATGTAGATAAACAGAAAATTCATCTTTAAAGCTTTTTCTTTTTGAAGATTCACTTACTAAAGAACAAGAGTTTAGAATCACTAATAAAACATACCAAATTTTATTATTTAATTGCAAACATCAGAATCACACCTTGTGTTTATATAACACCTGTTTCTTTGTAGATGAAAGAATAATGAAACAAAAAAATGTCAAAAATATTTTTCATTTTTTATTTTTATTTTCTATCATCAATCCCTATACAACTGCATCATTGGAAAGGTTTGTGTTTTCCTAACATGACAATAGCAACAGAAACAGATTTAGGTAACTTGAGATAGTTCCAAAAAGAGCTTTTTCACACTGGACTAGAAATTCCTAGTTATCTCCAACATTGGTTGTTAGGGCAGCTGTTTTTATTTTACACTATCAGATTTTTCCGTGGATATCCTCTCTCTCTCTCTCTCTCTCTCTCTCTCTCTCTCTCTCTCTCTCTCTCTCATTCTCTCTCTGTCAGTAATTTTTTTTTCATCAATTGCTCTCTGGACAATGAAAAAAAAGAAGTCAATATTTTTGTTATTTTTTTCCTACAGAATGAAAATTCCTGAATATCGCTAGTGACAGATAATCTGTAATTCTGCTGATGTTGAGTCTATAACAAATAATTACCATAACAAATTTTCCCCAATTTGAAACTCCTGGTTCTGTTTTCTCCTGGAGGACATCTTATTAAGCCACATTTCTCAGTGTTTTCAGACTTATTTACTTACTCTACATGAAAAACTGATGTGTATCTTAGGATCCTTGGAATGAGGATTTTTGTTGGACAGACCATTGTACAAATCCTAGTTTGTTTATTGAATTAAATTTGTAACACGTGTTAAAATACATTGAGTCATTCCAAACCTATTGGCCACTCGTAAGTTTCACCAATGAAATTTTTCTGCAGTAATTTCTGACTGCAGACCCAGAAGTAATCCCTGAGCATCGTTGGGTGTGACCCAAAAAGCTGAAGAAAAAAAAAAAGAAAGAAAACTGTTTAACTGGTAGAATTTTAAAATTGCTTTTCAGTGCAAAAAAAGTTCAGCTTAGTGCAATGTTTTACTACCTTTCAAAAATTAATAAAACAGAAATAAATAAATGTAATGCAGTTTATTATTAGGAGTCTGAAAGCTGTTAGCTAACAACATCTGCTTTTTACTTTTACTATATGAACTGTTGTTTGTATAGAAATTTAATATGATAGTACCTTTATTTTAGTTTTTATCTATTTGCTGTATTTCAAAAGTCTGCAAAAATTATTCTGATTTACTTAATTACAATGTAATAAACTTCTTCTTAAATTATAAGTGTGCTTTAAGATAAACTGCATAAGATTTGCTTACTTATTTGCTTTCTGAGGAAGGAAGCTGGCATACAGAGTTACCAGCAGTGATTTATGTCAAGCAGTAGCACATGGACACTGAGTTCCACAGTTTGTGTTAACAGTCATTGTAGGACCAGGCAGTTCTCCAAAGAATGAGGGAATGGTAATTATAGTAAGTTGTGTATTATAAATAATGCATGTATGTTCCACATGAGCTATGTGGGATTTGGGCCCAATTGCTAGAACATAGCTGCATAATGATTTATTTGGATTTTGTTGCAAGATGATGGATAGCGCAGAATGTTGGCAATGATGTAAATTACTGTTGGGTTGCCTTGAAATTTTTAGTGCAAGTGGTGATTTCTTCTTTTTTTCTGTGTGCTTGTCTAGTCTCGGCAGACACCTGAGGGTGAATTCCTTCCCCTTGACCAACTCGAACTGGATGTAGGTTTTAGTACGGGGGCAGATCAACTTTTTCTTGTTTCCCCCCTCACGATTTGCCACGTGATTGATGCCAAAAGCCCCTTTTATGACCTATCCCAGCGAAGCATGCAAAGTGAACAGTTCGAAATTGTTGTCATCCTCGAAGGCATTGTGGAAACAACAGGTGAGTAAAAACTTAGAAATAACAAGTTTTCTTTAGTCCACAATAACTTGTCTTGAACTGGGCTAAATGTTTCAATTTACAACAATGAGAGTAATGTCTTGTTTCTTACTTCTTTGTAATGTCAAATTGGTACTCCTTTGAAATGAAAGTTTTAACTGTGATCATTGCTTATGTAATGTTAATTCAGGAATACTCACTGCAAAAAAAAGGGGCGGGGGGAGTGTGACTCCTTAGAAATGATTGTGATGTTCTATTTTAACTGCAGATTTGGATTTCCTAGAATCATAATATTCCTTTAAAGACTTAAGATTAAAATAAATTAAGATAATTACTGAGCAGCCTGAACTCAGCATGCACTTTCCTGCCTTAAAGATGGTGATTCATCGTGTCATTGATAGAACTTTTATATGCTACTATGTGCAAACTCAGTGGAAAACTCCTTATGTGTATGCATGTGTGTGAGAAGAGATTTTAATTTTAATGTGGGGCAGGAAATTTCCTTGATGAACCATGATCTAAAAACTTTTAAATTTGTTTTAGTTTCAATATAACTACTTACTTACATTATTCCTAACGATGCAGTATGATATTAATACTACCCAAATAAAATTTACTTCTTCCTTAGGCATGTTGGCAGGCCCAGAAAAATAACAAAAATAACAAATTGTGTATAGACACATACATGTATGTGTGTATCTTGAGGTTAACTCTTTCTACTAATAATGAGAAAACAAGATTATTCTTAGCTCTCCCTTTTTCAGTATCCTTCAAATGTTACTTATTGTTTGTGGAGTAATATTGAAAGTACCATCAGCCATACCATGGATACACATATGCAAGTTTTATCCCAAAGTACAAAACGTTGCATGATAAAAGATATCCCATCTTCCCAACAGTTTTGTTAGAGAAGCTAAGAGAGAGGCATGCTTTTGTAATTCTCATACTTCTGTCACATAACTCCTGTTTGAAGAAGATATTTAATTTCTATTAGCTTCCTTAAAGTGAAAATGATATAACAAAGCTGCTTGTCTTATTACTGTTGTTGTTAGCACTTGGGTTCAAAAATTTAAGTTGTTAAGAGCAGTGAGAAAAGACATAATTCAGCCTATACTTGGTATTTGATTTATGTGAACTTTCAGATGATTTAAATCCTTTAATTAAATTTTTATACTTAAGTTTGGAACAACTTAATATTATATTCCAAAAATTTTGCATATTGGGACCGGAGAAATAGTAAAACAGGTAGGGCATGAGACCTGCCTGGGTTGCATTCCTGACACCCCATATGTTCTCCCCAAGCTTTGTCATGAGTGATGTCTAGAGCACAGAGCCAGGCGTAAGCCCCGAGTATAATAAAAGTAAGTAAAGTAAAGGCCCTCCCGTTGATCATCGATTTGCTCGAGCGGGCCCAGTAACGTCTCCATTGGAGACTTTGTTGTTACTGTGTCTGGCATATCAAATACTCTCAGTAGCTTGCCGGGCTCTCCGAGAGGGGCGGAGGAATCGAACTCGGGTCGGCCATGTTGGCTGCGTGCAAGGCAAACGCCCTACCGCTGTGCTATCGCTCCAGCCCCCCAAGTATAGTATACCTAGTATATTATAATAGTCCAACTATACTAAGTGTAATGTAGCCCAACTATACTAGGTGTAGCCCAACTCGCTTACAAAAAACATTGTCATATATTAATAAATCACGGTCCTCCCGTTGTTCATTGATTTGCTCGAGCGGGCCCAGTAAGTTCTCTATTGTGACACTTGTTACTGTGTTTGGCATATCAAATACGTCACGGGGAGCTTGCCAGGTTCTGCCGTGCGGGCAAGATACTCTCTGTAGCTTGCTGGGCTCTCCGAGAGGGGCGGAGGAATCGAACTCGGGTCGGCCGTGTTGGCTGCATGCAAGGCAAATGCCCTACCGCTGTGCTAATAAATAATAAAATCAAATCAGGAAGAGTTTAAGAAATTTTATATATTTTAAGAAAATTTATATTTGAATTTTTATCTTTATTTATTTATATAATAATATATTATTACAATTTAAATAGCAGATGTTGGATGTTTAGTGATTTATTCTTTAGGATGTTTTTATGTTTGAGACACCCACTAATAGAGTATGATGTGCTTTAATGTTTGAATCACTGAAATGAGTGAAATATCTAGATTGCTTGAAAAAAAGTGAAAAACTTGCAACTTTCACTAAGGTGTCCTTCCTCCCATCCTCTCTTTCTCCCAGTTTTCCTTCTTCCCTTTCTTTGCTCCTTTCCTCCTTTGTCTCTTCCTAAATATTCGTTCATCCTTCCACCAATCCAACTGATTATTTGTCCATAATTCTGTTTGCCGTCAGTTTCTTTGCTTTTATAAAGAGTGAAAATATTTCCCCACCAAAACACAGTGCAATTAATAAAACCATCAGGAAATTTGACAATGGCACAATACTGTATAGTTCATAGTCTGCACCCATTGCTGCAATTCTTTTCAAAGTTATTTTGTTTTCTGTGGTTCAATATTAATTTAAGGATTATGGTTTTTATTTATTTTTCTTTGTAGTGCTAGGATGAGATAGTTTTTTTGAGAAGTTGACCTTGACATACTTGAACAATACAGACTAAGTGTTTTGTTGTGACTCTAAGTTTGGATTTGTCTGGAGATTCTTTAGACATGAATTCTTTTAATATTGAGATTTTGCTTCAATCTGGAAATTATAAAAGAAAGCTGAAGCTGCTTGTTTTAATATATTCCTATGTATTTGTAGGAACTTAGCATTGAAGCAACTCAAACATTGTAATGTCTGACAGGAAATCCACTGGAAGTTTAGAAACAATAAATCATTAAGATTAAAGTTCAACGATGATCTTCTTTCTTTTTTTTGAAAAAACAATGAAAAATTTTTAACAAGAATATTTTCCACAGAAAATGTGAAAATTTAACTCAAGATTGAATTTTTAATTTACAGATTGCCTTTTACGGAAAAGAGATTAAAGTCTGCTTCCTCTTAACTTCTTAATTAAGCTTATTTTCTAGATCTAATATAGCAAGACAAACAGTAAAAGCATTACTCATAATTTATAGAATTTATTTTCTGGAAAATTTATCTGACATTTTGTTTGTGTATATGCCCTCACTAATTAAATCTTGCACTGTTCAAACTCTGTAAATCTGTCTATATTTCCAGAGCTCCCTGAGCTGATTAAAAATAGCATGAGCATTTTTATGTGCATATTTTATTTGCTAATTTAAAATTTTACTGAGTAGTTTTAGGTTCATCTTTAAAGATGTCTCTTTCTTTATCCTTCCATTCAAAACAATTCTTACTTGATCACAATAGTTATGGCTTAAAATAAAACAGAGACAATCTTTTGGGATGTTTTAAGTCAGCAATATGAACATTTTTATCTGTCATGTTTTTGGGATCAGAGCTCTGTGAATAAGCTTTCAAACTTTTATTTGATGTAAATTTGATTTTATTTTGTATCCAAGTGTCTATCACGTTCCTGACACTCCATTTTCATTCTCCGTTCAATAGATAAGTATTTGAATGCCCGCTGTATGCTTATAGTATGATAGACTTTGAAAGTGTATTGCCGAATGTTATGGTGACCAGTGGGTCTCCTTCTCTTTCAAAGGGTCATATTCAAATTGGAGAATGCAAATTCTAAAATAAAAAGCAATCAAGATATTTTCAGATGATGTGTGTGGGATTAAAAACAACAACAACAACAACAAAGGCTCCAGTGATAGTTCAGTGGGAAAGACGTTTGCGTTGCAAGTGACCAAACTGGGTTTAATCCTAGGCTCTTTATAGGGTCTCCAGGATTGATCCTTGAGTAGAGTCAGAAGTAAGCCCTGAATACCGCTGTGTGTGCCCTCCAAAGGAAAAAAAAGTAACAAAAACAAGGCGATGGTACAAAATGCATGAAGGCTACTCTCAGTTGCTATTTAGGGAGGGATTCCTCTGGGATGTATACTCCTCAGCATCCTGACCCCTTAGGAGTATAGCATGACAGATACTGTGAAAATGAACCCCAAAAGTGGAAACCTTCCTGATTTAATCCAGGAACTAAGAGAAGGCAGAGTTTACTGGAATAGAGTGAAAAATTAGAGGGCAAGAGGCTGTCTCCACACTGGAAACTGTTGCACTGACAAGGTTTTGAAAAACCAAAATCTATAATTACAGAAAAGCAGTAGTTTAACTATATATTTTTAAAAAAAAACACTTTTTTTTTCTAGTGGGGTCGTTTAAAATGAGTGATTTTATGTCTTAGAAATATATTAAATTTTAGACATTCTTAACTTTTGTATTAATAATAATATCCTCCTCCCACAACACCCTCTGCCACACACATGCTCACACTCTATCCTCTGTCTCTCTTTCTCTGTCTCTTTCTCACACACACATACATACACACATGGATTACACACACAACATACACACACACACACTGTTCACTTCCCCTCAGACCTCATCAGAAGACTTCTGATCTCACAGTTTTTCCCTTTTCATTGCTCTCTTTTCAGCAGGAATGGTTTGGACTGGGTGAGAGAGGGAGGGCTATTGCTTAATTAGAACTACTTCTGATTCCTTGACAGTTTCATCTTTCAGTTTCAGGATTCAGAATAATTCCCTCCATCCCTGGGAAATACTTCGCAATAATAAGATTCAGGCATTCTCCCTTCTTGCTTTAAATGAGTTAGATTTTCGCTCCCCACAAGGAACACAGGCTATCTCTTCATTTAAAAACCTTTGCTTCTTCGCTCAGTCAGTGAATTCCTAAATCTCAGTTACCTTTAACTCTTGCTCTCTTTGTTTCTTCTCCCTGGAGAGAGAGCAGTGCTAGAGGCAAACAGCATTGCAGATTTGGCTCATTAGAATTGAATGCTTTCAAACTTCAATCTGCTCTTTGCTGCTATTTGGCAGACTTTTTAATTGTCTTTTCTGTACTCCTCTGCTCTCTCCCAGTGGATCTATTTTAGACCTTTTCTCTTTCCTATGCCCCCAGTCCCAG